GCATTTGTCGGCGATTTTGCAAAACCTGTCGGCGAGTGAAAAATCGGGCTAAAACCGTGCAGTGTGAACTCGGCATTAAGAGTGTCTTTAATCTGCGAAACGCAATTCCTACCCAACACAGTGTCCTTGGGCAGGGAGATGGTAGCACTAGACTCAGCCTCGGACTCCATGGTTTGCTCCATAATGTTTTCCCTGTGCAGGAAAAGACAAAAGCCGCTGTGAGTCTGGAAGAGGTGCATGATGGGAGCTGAAGATGGAGTCCCAAAAGAGCTAAACGCTCACCCAGACTGTTCCAGATCCGTGGCCACCAGTATATTCTTCTCCTCCTCGGCCGATGACGTCTGATCCGCTGTGTCGGGGGTCGTGACCACCACCACCTCCTCCATGTGGACGTTCACCTCAGAGGATGATGCCATGAGGTCATCAGCACCTGACAGCTGTCAATCAGCATCTGATGGGTGTGGAAAGGAAGTTGAATTTTAAATGAGGTTTTATTTACTCACTGCTGTTAAGTTTATTCAGATCTATTCTGACAAATAAGAGTACTGTATTGGTACCACAGTTATGAAAAATGACCATATGAACAGCTTAAAGGGGTCATATGATGCTATTTTAAAGATCATTATTTTGTGTATTTGGTGTAACAGAATATGCTGACATGGTTTAATGTTCAAAAAACACATTATTTTTCAAATACTGTACATTATTGTAGTTCCTCTATGCCCCCCCTCTCTCAAACGCTTCGTTTTCTACAAAGCTTATCTATGCACAATCAGCTTGTAACACTCCAAAGAGAAAGGAAAACTTGAAATCGCATCATATGACCCCTTTAATGCTTGAATAGCTCTGCATCCAACCACACAAATATGGAAAATACTGTAGCTTCTGATCACACACTGCAAAAAGTGATGCTCTTCCTCAGTATTGGTTCTTATTTTCCAGTCCAAATTTCTAAAGATTCTTAAATCAAGATACATTTACTCGAGAAGCAAAATGACAAACTAAGAAGCATTGGTTTCTGAGAAATTGGTCAAAATTAAATGAGTTTTTGATTAAAACAAGAACAGATATCTGCCAATGGGCCAAAAGACAAACAAACAAATTAATTCAAAGAGAAAACAGGTTTTCATACCCCACCGGAAGATATTTGTATTGGTACCACGCTAAAATTATGAATCAGATGGCTTTACCTCATATTTTTTGATATATATCATGGTACTAAACGTTAACTACAGTCATAAGCCTTTGTATTCAAAAGACCTCTATAAATACTATGGTAAATGTCCAATAGCATTACACATTTTGTAAGTGCAAACAGTAATTGCATTCATTAATAATGATTAATTATAGTAAGCATGTTCGCAGTCTTCAACTCACAGATTATCAGTGTTTTGAGGTTTATCGCTGAATGTTTGCGCTTTGCCCAAATTGACCGAATTAAATACAAAAAAGTAGCGGTAGATATGTGCGTACGGGGGAAAAAAAATCGCAATTCAAATAACATGCAGAAAAACAGAGTATAAATCGAATCTTTACCCGCAAGCGTTTGAACGCGTGTTTAGGAAGCGCTGTGCAGACGGACTCTACCGCGCATGCGCTGGCGTCGTGACGTCACGGGCGCGTCAAACAATAGAAATCGAAGTGGGTAGATGCATAAAAGATAATGATAAAATGGGCGGACTAAATAACCTTTTTTTTTTTTTTTTAGTTCATATCTCTATTTTATTTTACAGCTATTAAACTTTAATTCATTGTCCAGCGCTGAAGATGCACAGATACTTTTCTTTCTATAGGTAGATTTCAATGTCGCATAACAGAGGATTTGGGCTTTCTGAGCCTCCTTGTGGAAAGTTCACAACAAGCTGGTTTCATAGTTAACAGTAAGTAGCTAGCCTACACAAAGTATACGAAGGAATAAAATTAAATTCACATCAAAAAAGTTGGACTGAATTTTAATTTGCATATTAGTCTAACTGTTTTAATGCATTCAGCATTTATTTATTTTACTCTTCACTTTTCTCATATACATTTATGCGGTTCACAGATGCTTTTATCCAAAGCACCTTACATTGCATTCAACACACACACACACGTAGAGACAGACGGACAGACACACACACACACACACAGAGGCAGACAGACAGACAGACACGCACACACACGCACGCACGCACACACACACACACACACACAGACAGACAGACAGACACACACACACACAGACAGACAGACAGACACACACACACACACACAAACAGACACACACGCACGCACACACACACACACACACACAGACAGACAGACAGACACACAGAGGCAGGCAGGCAGACAGACAGACAGACACACACACACACACACACACACAGACAGACAGACAGAGACACACACACAAACACAGAGGCAGACAGATAGACAGACAGACACACACACACACAAACAGACAGACAGACACGCACGCACGCACACATACACACACACACACACAGAGGCAGACAGACACACACACACACAGACAGACAGACAGACAGACAGACAGACAGACAGACAGACAGACAGACAGACAGACAGACAGACAGACAGACAGACAGACAGACAGACAGACAGACAGACAGACAGACAGACAGACAGACAGACAGACAGACAGACAGACAGACAGACAGACAGACAGACAGACAGACAGACAGACAGACAGACAGACAGACAGACAGACAGACAGACAGACAGACAGACAGACAGACAGACAGACAGACAGACAGACAGACAGACAGACAGACAGACAGACAGACAGACAGACAGACAGACAGACAGACAGACAGACAGACAGACAGACAGACAGACAGACACACACACACACAAACAGACAGACAGACACGCACGCACAGACAGACATATGATGGCGATGTGTATTCAAAAGAACAGTTTGGAGTATTTTGTTCGGTTTATTATGTTTTATTTCTGAATAAAGCAAAATATATATCTATATAATACTGATAATGAAACATGTACAAACATGTTTGAAATTAAAAGAAAAATAATATGAAGATACACTCCAGTTGAGCATATTAGCCTAGACTGAATTCTCTTCAATCATCACAGATTATTGGGAGGCAACAGAAATGAGCCCAAAATGGATCCCGTCTCAAGAAATGTCATTTATTTGTGGAGTAGTGTAGGGAAGTTTGAGGATTTGTCACAGCGCTGGGAATCTTGATAAGGTGTGCAGTTGCTGTCAGTGTTGGGAGAAAATAACAATCATAAACATGATGTTTATTCTCTGCTTCCGGTAGCTGCGTGTGCTTTCCAGGTTTGGTCTTTCTTGACACAGTCAATCTGCATAAAGAGACAGAAATTCATTAATGAGCATGTGTGAAAGAAAATATTTAGAATATTTTAAGACAAAACCAAATGATCAATTGAAATGTTTGGTACAGTGCGAAACTACAGTTTAAAGTTACAGGTTATCTGGTAAACATTGATCTTCATGTCAATATTTTAATGGTTTTATTGCCATATCAAAACATTGATATATAAGACATAACATGATAGTGCACTTTTCATTTACAGGCTATAAGACCAATAAGGGTTGGGTTTTGCTATAGGTTAAAGTCAGTTTATTTTACCTTTTTATCAGCACATGTGGACACTTTAACCAATGAAATTAATAACAACCAAATGAAGCACAGTGTGGGCGAACAGAAAGTCAGCAAAGGCTCTTTCTGGTGAGATGGACAAGAACTTGCCTTTATTCTGAGGATTAATCTGGATTCTCAGACACACTGAAGAAAACATGGAGATATCATTAAATGCAATAAAAAAAGTACTTACTTGCATATGAATATTTTAAGTAATAACAACAAAAAAACAAACAAGCTATCCCCTAATGTCAACGCTGTAACTATTTATTGTGCACATCAACAAATAACGCACAAGAAGTGGAGATGGAGTCATGTCATTGAAAATAAATAAAATGGAATAAATAGAAGGGCAAATAAGTAAAATGCATGGTAATAATTTCTAAATAATGGTAAAAACACAAAAATAAACAAACCATCACGTTTAATCAACACTGGGTAGCTATTTATGTGCACATAAACAAATAACGAGAGAAAGAAGAAAAAAAAAGAATAAATCAATTAGGCATACCTGCAAGAATAAACGACCCAACGCACGATATGAAACCAGACAGAAAGCTGTTGAACGGAAACGTGCCGACTAATAAACAATAGAGAAACTGCAGCGCTCCAGTCATCATAACATACAGGAGATACGCGTCTATCACTTTCAGTTTGTTCGGCGTGCTGGACGCATATTCCTCCAGAAACCTGGAAATGACAGAAATCACTGAATTATTAGACATTTTCACATCGATTTAAAAGCCAAACAACACCGAAACGTGTGCGTAAATAACGGTTTCCAGTGAGGCACAGAGTGTTCTTCCTCCAGGGGGCGCTAGATGGCTCAAAATTCCGAACTCTCCTTTGAAAAGTATTTAAATATAGGCCATTTCATTACTTAAATATAATTTAAATAGGGGGTTGTCCTATTGGAACAATGTGCACCGTAAGAAGCAAATTCGTTAACTTTTAATATGCAAAGGTTGCTATCTGACCATTTTTTTAAATGCCTCATCCAATAATTAGAAATGACAATGTCCAAGCGGTGAGAATTAACATCACGTGACAAGCATGAGTCAGAATAGCATTATATATAGGCTAGGGAGGCTATATAAAAATGTTACTTACCCTTGTCTTTCCAAAACTGAATACTGTTGTTTTTTCCTTTTTTCCTTGCCAAGTAAAGTTGAAGTAGAACAAAGCGAAGAAAAAAAAAAACCCTGTAAATTATTTTAAAGGGGTCATATGATACGATTTCAATTTTTCCTTTCTCTTTGGAGTGTTACAAGCTCTTGGTGCATAAAGAAGATCTGTAAAGTTGCAAAGACTAAAGTCTCAAATCCAAAGAGATATTCTTTATAAAAGTTAAGAGTCAGCCACACCTACCTAAAACGGCTCGTTCTAACACGCCCCCACATACCTAACCGCATAAACACATTTCATTACACCAAATACACAAAATAAATGTTCTTTTTAGCAGCATCATATGACCCCTTTAAAGCCTTAAATCTACTCTTTGAATAATTTGTAATTATTTGTACTTGTTTACGGACATGTGATTTTCTTATTGCTTTCTTTATTTTCTTTATTAATTTTTCATTGTTGTCGTTTATTAGGTATTTGTTTTGATGTTATTTATATGCTATTGCCCTTGTATGTTCTTTGTTCTAAAAACTGCAATAAAAAAAAAAAGTAAAAAAAAAAACAAAAAAAGTTTAAGTAGGAAAAAAAAGAAAAAACATTAGTACTAATTCAGCATTTTATTCAAAAGACGTGTGTACGGCCAAAGCTTAATCAAATATCAGTTTCTTTGCACACAACATTATATACATGTAACACACTGACAAGTTAACTCCTGCAGGATTTGATCACACCTATTAATTAGTTTAAATGTTAATGAGTCTGAACCATCATATCTCTAGCATTCTGGACACTTAAAGAAGTACACAGTAAAGAACAAAAATGCACAACAGCAGTTTGTCAAACATTTTGTGGAATGCATAAAAAAAGTGTTTGGCTTACTGTATTGTGAAACACATGCTGCAAGTAGTACAACATCAGCAGAACTTTTCTCAGCCAAAGAGAAAGAGAGTTACGCTGAATCAATTCTTTTAACATCACTGCTTGTTTATAAATGTGTTTACAGAAATATTTCAGTTATTACTACATGCGAGTTCATAACCCAAACAGACTAAGTGTTTGTCCAGTAGGTGGCAGCAAGCAGCTGTTTGTTCTTCATGGCAGAAGGCAGTTGTTTGTTTTGCATTTACAGTACAGGACAGATACTGTAAAACATTGAAGAAAAAGGTCAAACATTAATACTGCCTGTATCATAATCATTATCAAAAGGGAACAAATTATTATATATATATATATATATATATATGTAATTCCCAAGGAAATCAATAACTCACTGTAGTTCCTCTAGTTTATATTGTGGATCCTCCAGTAGATCAGAGAGTAGATTCAGTCCTAAACCTCCTAATTCATTATTATTGAGATTGAGTTCTCTCAGGTGTGAGGGGTTTGATTTCAGGGCCGAAGCCAGAGCAGCACAACCTTCATCCCTAATATGGCAATTAGATAACCTGCGAAACATTCAAAGAAATAATGTAAAGAGATATGGGTCTGTTTTAGGTGGGTTTTTTTCTCTTTTATTTGTGGAAAGTTTACAGTTCAAAAACAACAACCTGAGTTGCATAGTTTACATCTCCGAGAACATACAAATGCAATAAAAAGAGTTTGTTTCTGACTTGTTTCTTTCTGGTATTTGCATGTATTTGGGCCTGGTTGTGTGTGTGTGTGTGTGTGTGTTTGTGTTTGTGTATGTGCAGCATGTGATGCTACCACATAAAGTAGAAAATTTAATATAATAAAAGTAACTTTTATAATT